CGATACGATTATGCCCAACCCTAAATTCAAGCAGAATAGCCTATTGTCAACATAATTATGGAGTGTGATTTATTTTCAACTCTAAATATCTTCAAACTAATGAAATATAAAGTTATTAGTGAAGAAAACCCGTCTGGATAACAGCAGACTGACTGCTGGTAAAATATACGACAGGTCTGGACCACTCCTGAATTATTTTTGTATCTGAATAAAATCTTAGAATATGAAAACATTGGTGAATGTCACAAATTCTCCTAAATCACTCGTACGCACAACTTAAGAACAAATCTGTGCGTACCAACGGTTCTTGCATGAGGCCCAATGTCCTAACACAAATGTAAGCACCAATACTACAGTGCCACCTGCTGGACACATTGAAACACACTTGGGACATGAAAAAGAAATAATGGTGTTAAAATAAAAAAAAATTCCTGTATCCGCATCGTGATCCTGAACATCACCAAAATTTAAAGGTGTGTTCCTTGAGGCAGTACACACATGTGGTAAAAATGTCATGATAATCTGTCCACAAATTTTTGAGTAATGTTGTCCACAGACAGAACGACAGACGCGACCGAAAACATGACCTCGCCCTTGGCGGAGGTAATAATCAGAATTGTGAATTAAAAACAGGAAGTTGAATCAGGTCTTGAGTGAATGGTTGCATCTCCACTCCAGACTTAAAAACTACTTCTCCTTTTGGCTCCATGAGAACACCAAACAACCAATAATGTTCCAAGATAAAATAAAATGTTACAGACTTATCAGAATCTGATTATATTCTCCAATTCATTGACAATAAAGCTGTTGTAAACAGTAAAAATCCAGTGATCAATAATCATCCATCAGCAACAATACATCCTATCGTGACAAGTGTTAACAAGGAAATCTATTGAACTGCATTGTTGACACATTCTTTAATTTTTATATTTATTATTTAAATTGTTAATGTTATAATGTTTGTGTTTTTAGGCCCACTGTCTAAAAGCCACAGCACTGAGTAAAGCTGGGCGCCATGATGAGGCCTTGCAGGAGTACCTGCTATGTGTAGCACTGAAGCCCGACTGCAACAAAGTCAAGCTGGAGGCTCAGAAGGTGAGACGGAGAGAATACTTCTCAGAAAAATATTTGCACTTCCTCTAGTTGCACACAAAGTTTGGTGTTAATTAAGAAAACATGAGTTCCACCACTAATCAACAACAACATGGCTGTTGTCTGTTTTATACTCTGCCTGAAAATCAATGTGGCTAAACAAATCACTCAAAACCTGAACCACACGTGTTGTTTCAGGTGCTGTCTGAGCTGTTTTCTTCTGTGTTCGAGAACGAGGAAATGCCCACACCGCTGCCCCCTCTGCATGGAGGGCTGGCCACTCGGCTCATCAAACCCACCGCCCTGCTCACGTCCTTGAGACCACTGACACAGAAACCAGGCTGCTCTTCACAGGTTAGCACAGCTGCAGCTTCTTCAGGCCTTTGTTAGACAACACTCCTGTTTTCTGTTGGTTTTATGGAGATATAAAGCTGAGTATCAGCTTAACAAGGAAAATCTTTCATTTCATGATTATACTGCCCAAAGGATACACACATAGAAAAAGAATATAATGAGGATGCATTAGTGGCAGAAACAAATGAAGCAGATCAAACTATAAAAGTTTGTTTGTATTTCAACATATTTTATTGAAAAAAAATTGATTTCAATCAGCTTTACATTTCTTTCAAGCACTATATGGGGAGAACAAGTATTTGATCCACTGTTGATTTTTCAGGTTTTCCCACTTACAAAGCTTGTAGATGACTGTAATTTTTATCATAGGTACTCTTCAACTGTGAGTGATGGAATCTAAAACAAAAATCCAGAAAAATACAATGTATGATTTTTAAAT